CGAGTCGGATGACAGATTATTTGGTCATCTTAGTACCGGATGAACCAGTTAACCAGTGGATTCATTAAATATACTAGTGCAGTGTGATTTATACAAAGCCAGCAGTCAAAGACGGCGGCTTTGCCTCGAGCGAGCTCAGGAGCCTCCCTCAGCCCAGTTAAGCCTTAGTCAGCGGTTTCATGCACACGCACAGATTTGGTGGCGTGTTATTCTGTGAAATGACAGCGCTAATATTGAAGCCAGCCAAATTAGTGGCTGGGTCTTCGTGAGATTGTTCACGGATTTCGTGGTGTGTTTTCGCGAGAGATTATCCACGAATTTTGTGGACTTTATTTCGCGAGGTCACTAATAATATTTAATACTTCTTGATAATATTAGAAGTTTCATAGAGGCTAATTAAGAGGCTATTATCAATAATTGTGTATATTATTTCTCCAAAATAGAGAATTATTTAATATATTGCACTAGTGTTCACAATATAATATTTACTAATTGCCAACCCACAACAGGGTAGGATATTACCATTGACTAGTTGAACTATTTATTGTTCATCCTAGTCCCATTATTACCATAGTCAGTTGTACTATATTAAACAACCTAACACCATTAATGAATGGTCCAGACCCTATTTTGGGTGTAATTTTTATCAACTCGAGTTGAGTTGTATATATAATAACTTACTTATGATCATTACACCTTTGAGTGATTAATTAGTGTCTATACCATCCTAGGGTGATATAGAAGAGCTAACCTAAAGGTACTTCCATGACACTGGTTTTTCACTCAAATCATTAGTGTGTATGATTGTATATATATATATATAATGTGTATTAATTTTAAGTGCTAACCTCTAGTAGAGGTAGGATTACAGCCTAGCGAGTGCAGAAATTTTACCCTAGGCTACCATCAGTACTTGTTCAGTATTATGAGCGACCCAAGTACAAGCCCCACAAGGCTCCACCAACTAGCCAGTATGGATAATGCAGGGAGAATGAAAAGAACCCTTGCAGGTCTTAAAGGCCACTTACAAGACAGATCAAGAAATGTGAACATTTGTCACAACAATCTCAAGTTGATTATGCTGACCTGGAAAGCTATTATCAAGCAGCTGCAGGTAAATTTGAGCAAATCAAATGCCAAATAGCTCTCCTTGTGGGGACAGACTACTACCATCAATTCATCGGTAGCCCTACTAGTAGTAGGGCTACCGATGAATTGATGGTAGTAGTCTGTCCCCACAAGGAGAGCTATTTGGCATTTGATTTGCTCAAATTTACCTGCAGCTGCTTGATAATAGCTTTCCAGGTCAGCATAATCAACTTGAGATTGTTGTGACAAATCAGGGCATAAACAAGTTATATTCTGCAGGAGGTAAATTACTCTCAGGCCCAGTATCAAGCCTGGGGAGACCTATGGCTGCAGATAAACAATACCAATAGAAATCTAAATTTGTCAGCTGATTATATTTCTCCAGTAGCATTATACTAAGGAGATTACAGCTGACTATACCAACAGAGGTTGATGTTAGTATCATCATTTAAAGCTGAAGATGAGTTCATGAGGCCTCAGTGGCAAATCAGTGAACAGTAGCCTAAACAGCTACAAGTCACTGCGACCAATGTCACTGAACCCATTACAGTCTCAGAACCATACTTTATTTTAATGATGAGCTATTCAATCTTCTGAATCAATTAACTAAATTAAACCCCAATAAATCTGATGACTGATTTGATACATTTATTATTTAATCAAGATGTATTCCATGGGCCTCAGTGTTTATATATCAGTGACCAGTTACCTGAACAAACTTCAAGTTATATCTAATGTCACTGATCTCACTGCAGTCCCTGAATCATACTTGACTGTAGTACTTGATCACATTCAGTCTTCTGGGTTAAATAATATGTAATTAGGCTTGAATTTTAGCCTTTCAAGAGTTAACAGGGAAATGAAATCGCATTAGACTTCTAACCCCTGCAACTCTAGTACGGGACATCCGTCCTGTACGAACAGACGCACAAATGTGTGATTACTAACTACTAACATCAAATTAATCTAATAATTCGAAGGAGGAGTATCGTTGTTCGTCTGTTCTAAATAGGTCTTCGACCCGTGAGCAGCCCTCGGGGAATTATGTCGGAAAATCCGACACCACTTAACAATATCATACAGACAGATAATATTGCTGTGTTGTATAAACAACATGTTGTCTATAGAAAATGGGATATCATTACCACATACTATTATAAATTCACCACCTATTATGGTGGGAATTATTCTTAAATACATTAGTCTTTGGACTTTACCATCATAAAAACATCTCATATAAATTAACTTAATTATCAGAGTTAAAATAGAGTAAATGTGACCCTTCTATCACTTACTGTCATCTGGACAAAGTAAGCCAGGCGTCAGTGAGGAGGGAGTGGTCAGCCATTGTTGTTGTCACCTCCGAGACGAGACGCATGGAGCAAATTCGGCTCCTATCATATCTGGACAATGTCGGCCAGTAGCGTCAGTAGTATGGAGTGTTAGCCATTACTTAGACCAGAGGCACGGGAGCAATTCGGCTCCTGTTAATTTTACTTGGACGAAGTGTTATGGAAACCAAAGGTGTACCATCATCAACACGCTGTCAACAAATACAAGTTAAGTGTTCTGCCGAAACCCATTTATCTATCATTTGTGGCCATTAATGTCATTAGATAGGGTGAGCAGGTTAGATCACGAGATCGCCTCATACTAAAGGTAATTAAGCCTAGGTCTTTATGGTTCCTTGTACAGTGTTTTCTCTGATATAGCTGTCATATATTAGGATTCTGGCTTCATAGCTAGCGCCCTTTTGACAGGTCAAGACGAGGAAGCATGCTTTGTGTACCAGTTACTGGGTGATGGAAGCTACCTCAAAGAGGATAATTTGGTGTCTACATCCTGGTTATACCTGGTGGACTAAGGCCTGCTGTACAATAAGATAAGGAACCTCTTCAATGTTTAACAATGTGTAGTCTAATACTGTAGTTTGATTGGCTGCATATATATATATATATAATATAAACCCCCCTAATGTGTAGAGGATCGATTTGTGAGATTATTGCAGAAATACAGTCCACTTAACATCATACAAATTGCTATCGAAGTATATAAATTAACGTAAATATAAATTCATGTAAATTAAATAAATATAAATCTCACAGGTCGGTTCCCACATAGAGGCCTGGTGTGGAGGTCTGGTGTGGAGGCCTGTGTGGAGGTCTGGTGTGGAGGTCTGGTGTAGAGGCCTGTGTGGAGGTCTGGTGTGGAGGCCTGTGTGGAGGCCTGGTGTAGAGGCCTGGTGCGGAGGCCTGTGTGGAGGTCTGGTGTGGAGGCCTGTGTGGAGGTCTGGTGTGGAGGCCTGGTGTGGAGGCCTGTGTGGAGGCCTGGTGTGGAGGTCTGGTGTGGAGGCCTGTGTGGAGGTCTGGTGTGGAGGCCTGTGTGGAGGTCTGGTGTGGAGGTCTATGTGGAAGCCTGTGTGGAGGTCTGGTCTGGAGGCCTGTGCGGAGGCCTGTGTGGAGGTCTGGTGTGGAGGCCTGTGTGGAGTTCTGGTGTGGTGGTCTGGTGTAGAGGCCTGTGTGGAGGTCTGGTGTTGAGGCCTGGTGTGGAGGTCTTGTGTGGAGGCCTGTGTGGAGGTCTGGTGTGGAGGCCTGTGTGGAGGTCTGGTGTGGAGGTTCTGTGTGGAAGCCTGTGTGGAGGTCTGGCGTGGAGGTCTGGTGTGGAGGTCTGGTGTGGAGGCCTGGTGTGGAGGTCTGGTGTGGAGGCCTGTGTGGAGGTCTGGTGTGGAGGCCTGTTGTACAGACCTGGTGTGGAGGTCTGGTGTGGAGGCCTGTGTGGAGGTCTGGTGTGGAGGCCTGTGTGGAGGCCTGGTGTGGAGGTCTGGTGTGGAGGCCTGTGTGGAGGTCTGGTGTGGAGGCTTGTTGTACAGGCCTGGTGTGGAGGCCTGGTGTAGAGGCCTGGTGTGGAAGCCTGGTGTGGAGACCTGGTGTGGAGGCCTGGTGTGGAAGCCTGGTGTGGAGGCCTGTGTGGAGGCCTGTGTGGAGGCCTGGTGTGGAGGCCTGGTGTGGAGGCCTGTGTGGAGGCCTGGTGTGGAGGGCTGGTGTGGAGGCCTGTGTGGAGGCCTGGTGTGGAGGCCTGTGTGGAGGCCTGGTGTGGAGGCCTGTGTGGAAGCCTGGAGTGGAGCCCTGTGTGGAGGCCTGTGTGGAGGCCTGGTGTGGAGGACTGTGTGGAGGTCTGGTGTGGAGGCCTGGTGTGGAGGCCTGGTGTGGAGGCCTGTGTGGAGGCCTGGTTTGGAGGCCTGTGTGGAGGACTGGTGTGGAGGCCTGGTGTGGAAGCCTGGTGTGGAGCCCTGTGTGGAGGCCTGTGTGGAGGCCTGTGTGGAGGCCTGTGTGGAGGCCTGGTGTGGAGGCCTGTGTGGAGGACTGGTGTGGAGGCCTGGTGTGGAGGCCTGGTGTGGAGCCCTGTGTGGAGGCCTGGTGTGGAGGCCTGTGTGGAGGCCTGTGTGGAGGCCTGGTGTGGAGGCCTGATGTAGAGGCCTGTGTAGAGGACTGTGTAGAGGCCAGTGTGGACGCCTCGTGTGGAGGCCTGTGTAGAGGCCTGTGTGGAGGCCTGGTGTGGAGGCTGAGGCCCATGTGTGGAGGCCTGGTGTGGAGGCCTGGTGTGGAGGCCTGGTGTGGAGGCTAGTGTGGAGGCCTGGTGTGGAGGCCTGTGTGGAGGCCTGGTGTGGAGGCCTGTGTGGAGGCCTGTGTGGAGGCCTGCTCTACAAATGGGGTATGAGGATAACCTCCCAGACCCAAGCACATCCAAGTTGTTCTAACTTTCTTACTAGTAATCTAACTTACGTTCACAACACGAGCATGTGAAACTCCCCCCAGCTATGGCTGGATATTTCCTGCTGAGCGGGACTGAGACAAGAAGTCGGGGCTTAACCTTAGGAGCTTAACCTATAAGTGGAAGATGAGAACACTTACCCAAGTTAGAGGAGGAGATGCGAACAGTGTTGCCCTCCCAGATGGTGAGACCCGTGTTGTTGATGACGAACGGCGCCTCGTCGTTGAGGCCGCGGACCGAGACGTTGACTACGGCGGGAACACTCTGCCGCACCCCAGACACCGCCACCACGCTGAAGGTGTCCTGGAGCCGCTCAGACCCGTCGTGCACGTACTGAGGGGAACACAGTGTTAGGACGTCAGTGTTAGTCTTGTAGGGTTCAAGAGACCATACCTCACCTAGGAGACTCCTGAAACGATTTTATATTCGAAGTTCATTTTGTGTGTGTGTACTCACCAAATTGTGCTTGCGGGGGTTGACCTCTGGCTCTTTGGTCCCGCCTCTCAACTGTCAATCAACTGGCGTACAGATTCCTGAGCCTACTGCGCTCTATCATATCTACATTTGAAACTGTGTATGGAGTCAGCCTCCACCACATCACTTCCTAATGCATTCCATTTACTAACTACTCTGACACTGAACAAAATCTTTCTAACGTCTGTGACTCATCTGGGTACTAAGTTTCCACCTGTGTCCCCTTGTTCGTGTCCCTCCCGTGCTGAAGAGTTTGTCTTTGTCCACCCTGTCAATTCCCCTGAGAATTTTGTAGGTGGTTATCATGTCTCCCCTTACTCTTCTGTTTTCCAAGGATATGAGGTTCAGCTCCTTTAGCCTTTCCTCGTAGCTCATTCCTCTCAGTTCCGGGACGAGCCTGGTGGCATACTGCTGAATCTTCTCTAACTTTGTCTTGTGTTTAACTAGGTATGGACTCCTGGCTGGAGCTGCATACTCCAAGATTGGTCTTACATAAGTGGTATACAGGGTCCTGAACGATTCCTTACACAAGTTTCTGAAGGCAGTTCTTATGTTGGCCAGTCTAGCATATGCCGCTGATGATATTCTTTTGATGTGGGTCTCTGGGGGACAGGTTCGGTGTGATATCAACCCTCAGATCTTCTCTCTATTTGACTCTTGCAGGATTTCACCTCCCAGATGATACCTTGTGTTCAGCCTCCTGCTCCCTTCGCCTAATTTCATTACCTTACACTTTCCTGAATTGAACTTTAGCAGCCATTTTCTAGATCATTCCTCCAGTTTGTCCAGGTCATTCTGTAGTCTCTGTCTATCTTCATCCGTCTTGATTCTTCTCATAATTTTTGCATCATCAGCAAACATTGAGAGGAACGAGTCTATACCCTCCGGAAGATCGTTTACATACATTAGAAACTGGATGGGTCCAAGTACTGAGCCCTGTGGGACTCCGCTGGTGACATCTCGCCACTCTGATGTTTCCCCCCTCACCGTTACTCGCTGTTTCCTGTTGCTTAAGTATTCCCTTATCCACTGGAGCACCTACCCTTTTACTCCTGCCTGTTGCTCCAACTTTTTTTAACAGCCTTTTATGGGGTACTGTATCAAAGGCTTTCTGGCAGTCCAGGAAAATGCAGTCGGCCCACCCTTCTTTTTCCTGCCTGATTTTTGTTGCCTGGTCATAGAATTCTATTAAACCTGCGAGGCACGATTTACCATCCCTGAACCCATCTTGGTGGTGCGTTACAAAGTTATTCCCCTCCAGGTGCTCTACGAGCCTTTTCCTCACGATCTTCTCCATCAACTTGCATGGTATACAAGTTAGGGAAACTGGCCTGTAGTTCAGTGCCTCCTGCCTGTCACCCTTCTTGTATATTGGGGCTATGTTGGCTGTCTTCCAACTTTCTGGTAAGTCTCCTGTTTCCAGTGACCTGTTATACACCATAGAGAGTGGCACACTTAGTGCTTCTGCACCTTCCTTTAGTATCCATGGTGAGATTCTGTCTGGCCCAACAGCCTTTGTCACATCCAGCTCCAGCAGACACCTTTTGACCTCATCACTGGTGAGGTCACTGCTCCTTAAATTCATTCCATTTCCCCACTACTCTCACGCTAAAAGAAAACTTCCTAACATCTCTGTGATTCCTCTGAGTTTCCAGCTTCCAGCCATGTCTCTTTGATACTCTGATATCTCTTTTCTTAAGTGGATTCCATCATTGAAGATGGAAAGTATCCATCTTTTCCTAATACACGCCTGCTTCTCTAGTGTGTGTGTGGGAGTCACTTGTGAGGAGACAGCCCGTTCTTTTGAGCGTTCACAATGTCACTGAACTGATGTACTAAATTGCCTGAACCTAATCAAAGACCATCGAATAGAAAACGGGAAATCATGTCACTTCTGCGAACCGCTGTGATGTTTAATAATTTTTTTTTATAATTTTAGTTTTTGGACCTATGTGGATTTATATGTCGAAATGCAATGTACTATTGAATAGTACAATGTACTATTTGTACTCTAATATAATATTTGGTCAAGCAGAATTTCCCTTTACAAATTCCAAGCATCAATCCATGTTGATGCACGGGGAAAAAATAATCTTACAGTGAGCTACTAGCTCTTTTGCAACCAGTTTAGTACCTTACAAGGGGATACATGCTTGTAATGCCGTAGCAAGTGCTCCACACAGGACCATAGGTGTGACCAAAGAGCTAGAGCTCAACCCCCACAAGCACAAGTAGGTGTGTACACAGTGCTTCAGTGCGTCTTTCAGTACCCTCGGTGAGATCTTGCCAGGGTCTGTGGCTTTCATTGCATCCAGCTCCTCTAATTGTTTCTTTACTTCCTCTGGTGTCAATTATGTTTCAGTTAGTCTTCAATCTGGTAGTGTACGTTCTCATAGAAATCGTAGAGCTAGAGTCAACTTTAGTTCTTGTTAGAACACCTCTACAAACATTCTCTGTGCGGCTTCTGCCTTACTATCGCATGATCAAATGATAAATGCAGATATATATTTTCTTATTAATAATACAACATCGATGAAATCATGGAATTCAATATTTATAAAGAAATGCAAGGTGCCAGTAGCACAAGCACTCAGTATAGTGTGGAGGAAGAACTTGGACATGGGGGAGATACCAGATGCACTTAAATCAGCAGACATAACCCCTCTACACAAGAGAGGGAGCAAAGCATTGGCAAAGAATTATAGACCAGTTGCACTAATGTCCCACATAATAAAATTATTTGAGAGAGTGATCTGGAGTCAGGTCACCAGTTTCATGGAGACCAATAACCTTCACAACCCAGGCCAACATGGATTTTGAGCGGAAAGATCATGCCTCTCAAAGCTACTTGACCACTACGACAAAGTCACTGAGGCATTAGAAGAAAAACAGAGTGCAGATGTACACGATACACGAACTTCGTACTCATTTGAAGTCCGTGTATTCCTATTAGACAGGATGAGAGAGGAATGTAAAGCGAGTAGAGTGCGCCTATCCGCTCCCCAAGAAGTATGGGACAATACCCGAAGGTGGGTAAGGGCCTCAGAGCATTCAACACGAAGGTAAGAGATATGGGGCGACCAAGACAAACGAGTGTCAAAAATCAACCCCCAAAAGCTTACCGAATATTGTACACAATGGGGTGACCATAAAGCAACAAAGAAGGATGAAAAACGACACGATTCCGAGTAAAAGTAATAGCACAAGTCTTAGACGTACAGAACCTGAAGCCAAGATCGGTGGCCCAAGACAACACAGCATCAATCACAAGTTGAAGCCGGCGTTGAAGAAGAGGCGAATACCACCCTGACAGCAAAGGGTAAGATCGTCGACATAGAGCGGAGAAGACGCCTGAAGGAAAAGAGGAAAGAAGACCATTGACGGCAACCAGAAAAAGAGTAGTGCTCAGAACACTACCCTGGGGCACACCTTCGTATTGCTGAAAAGAGGCAGAGAGAGCGGTACCAAGCCTCACACGAAAGGAACGACAAGAGAGGAAGCTGCGGAGAAAGAGAGGGAGATGACCACGAAGGCCAAAAAAATGATGTTGGGATAGAATATGACATCACCAAGTGGTGTTATAAGCCTTCTCCAGGTCAAAATGGACGGCAACAACGGAGGACTTCGCAGCAAAAGCAGTACGAATATAGACCTCCAAGTTCACCAGGACATCTGTTGTGCTGTGGCACTTGCAGAAACCAAATTGAGAAGGGAAGAGGTGATGATGCTGTTCTAAGAACCACATCAGACGAACGTTAACCATACATTCAAGAGTTTGCAGACACAACTTGTGAGGGCAATAGGGCGAAAGTCCTTAGGGGATGATCCCAGAGACCCTGGTTTGCGAACAGAGAGGACAACGGCATCGAGCCAGTCCTCAAGGACTGACGACGACTCCCAGATCCGAATATACAGAATCAGTAAATATTGAGACGTGCATGGAAGAGATGGCGAAGCATCTCATAATGAATGCCATCGGAGCCCGCCACCGTAGAACCGAAGAGGGCCAGGGCACACCGAAGTTCAGAGAGAGAGAAGGGATCAGTATAGGGAAGGCAAAGAGGAGTACTGAAATCCAAAGGACAAGATTCAATTACAGGTTTACGAAGAAGGAAAAATTGGGGAAGGTGAAAACCAGAGCTAACAGAAGAAAAGTGGGAACCCAGTTCTGTAGCGACCTGAAACGGGTCCGCCACAAGAGTAATCTTGTGGCGGACCCGTTATGGAGGTCCTCCACCCCTTCATGGAGGTGAAGGACCGGTGAGACATCGGGAATGAACTTACCCGCTATCTTGCGGATACGCTTCCAGATCTGCGGCAGAGGAGTTTTGGACGTAATGGTGGAGACATAAGACGCCCAGCATTCACATTTAGCCGTATGGATGGCCCTACAGGCCACCGCACTCGCCTTCCGAAATAAAAGAAAAGAATCGGCCGTCTGTCGGCGGCGGTGTCTCTTGCAGGCTTCACGCTTAGAGCTGACAGCCCGAGCACAGTCTGTATTCCACCAGGGAACGCACTTTTGTGGGCCCCGAGAGGAAGAGCGAGGAAAAGAGCAGAGAGCAGCATCAAAGACGATGTCAGGAAAAAGGAGGAGAGAGGGAGGGAGAGGCAGAAGGGAGAGGTCAGAGAGAGCAGCACTGAGGGTAAATAGGTTCCAGTCTGCCTTAGCAAACTGTTACCTAGGGAAGGAGAGAGGAGGGTGAAAAGAGAAAAAGGTAACAAGGATGGGGAAATGGTCACTTCCATGGAGGTCATCATGAACCTGTCATGTGTAATCTAAGGAAAGAGAAGACGAGCAAAGAGAAAGATCAAGACAGAAAAGGGTGCGAGTCCGTGAGTTCAAATGCGTGGGCTCA